GCAGCTATTTAAAAAGATTAGACAACCAAGAGGCTGTCCATGTGATATTGTTAAACAAAAATTGCAGACTGTAGAGTAGTATATAAAGTCTGATATAATTAAAAAAAATTTTTTTTTTCCAAACCTTTTACAGGTATTCTATATTCAGAGAGAAGTGTTGAAGGATATACTTCATGCTCTTATTTCCTTCTGGGGTATTGCCTTAGGAGTGGGATTAAGAATAGGAGATGTTAAAAATATAACATTAAAAATTTTTTTTACATAGCTCTAGCTAGTTTGTCTTGGTGGATAGGGTGTTGGCCTGCGGACTGAAAGGTCCCGGGTTTGATTCTGGTCAAGGGCACATGCCCAGGTTTCAGGCTCGATCCCCAGTAGAGGACATGCAGGAGGCAGCCAATCAAGGATTCTGTCTCCTCATTGATGTTTCTGTCTCTCTCTCCCTCTCTCTTCTTCTCTGAAGTCAATAAAAATATATAAAAATAAATAAATAAAATAATTTTTTTGTATATTTTGGATTTTTTCTTATGATAAATATGTATTAGCCAAATCTAATAAAAAATCCATGTTTAAAATGAAACTTCTTTCAAAGTAATGAATACATTCATTATGTTTTCATTGCTTTTTTTGTAATCTGACTTATAAAAATAGAAAGTTCATATTTTATGTTTAAAGAATTTGGACTTATTTGACAGGACCTGAAAATTCCTGGTTCTTCTGAGATAATGTTTATAACCAAAGGTCATTCCTTGGTTTCATTTTACAACTTTAGTTGTCAACATCTTGTCACGAGTACTAAGACCAACAAGTAGGTCTTTAGAAATTATTTTAATTTAGCAACACCTTATAGATAAGCACTTTGGAAGGCTGAGTTGCAAATTTAACTTTGGGTATTTTGTGATCTAATTTTCAGTCAAAATATCCTAACATATGTCACCTATTATATTGCTACTTTCTCTATCACAGATCTCCCCTACTTCCAGTATGGCTATTATTATTTTGCAATATAGTTTTTTTAAAAAAACCTTTTGTTCCTATTACAAAAATAAAACAGTCAATATATTTGTAAAACACTAAAAAGGGATAAAACGCAGTCATTCGTAAGTCAAATAATAAACATTGTTAAATTTTAAAGCATTATTCTAATATTTTTTAATAATGTGAGTAAATATAAATTACATATAATAAATTTCATATCTTTAAAATGTAAAATTTTCTAAAATTTGACATATGTATATAATAATGCAACATCCTATATAATAAAGAAGTAATATGCAAGTTGACCATCGCTCTAACACACAAGATGGCCACTCCCATGTGGTCAAAGATGGCTACCCCTATTTGGACACAGGATGGCCACCACAAGAAGGCCTGCAGGGAGGGCAGTTAGGGGTGACCAAGCTGGCAGAGGAGGGAAGTTGGGAGGTGATCAGGCCTACAGGGCAGGACAGTTGGGGGGGACCAGGCCTCAAAGCCAGGGCAGTTGGGGGGACCCAGGACTGAAAGGGATGGCAGTTGAGGGTGATCAGGCCTGCAGGGGAGGGCAGTTAGGGGCGACCAAGTTGACAGGGGAGGGCAGTTAGTTGCAATCGACCGGCAGGGAAGCAGTCAGGCATTGATCAGGCTGGCAGGGGAGTGGTTAGGGGGTGATCAAGCTGGCAGGCAGAAGCAGTTGGGAGCCAGCAGGCCTGAATTGTGAGAGGGATCCCATATTGGATATGGTGCAAACTGGGCTGAGGAACACCCCCTATCCCTCATGTATGAATTTCATGCATTGGGCCTCTAGTTACAATAATAAAAGTATTGCTTAAATTTATTACTTCCCCAAAGTTTACTTGTACCATTATAATATCCCTAGTTCCTGTATTCTCTGGGAATAATTTATCTGCTTATAAATTTATTTGGATTTTTAAAATTTTTATATAAATGGAATCATACAATATATTTCCATTTTTTCTAGTTTCTATTACTCAGCATACTTTTTTTTTTTGAGATTCTTCCATGTTACATGTCTTAATAGTTCATTCCTTTTATTCCTTTTATTCCATGGTATGGAAATATTGAAATTTGATTATTCATTTACTTGTTGATAGAAATTATTGTTACCATTTTGAGGATCTTGAGATAAAGCTGCTCTAAACATTCATGTACAATTCTTTGTATGCACATATGCTTTCTCTTTGTATGTGTAAATAGCTAGTAGTGAATGGCTAAATAGCGTGATGAGTATTGAACTTTAAGCAACTGTCATTCTTTTTCCGAAATGGTTGTATTATTTTATATTTCTACCAATAACAAGAAAGAGTTATAGTTTTTCCATATTCTTGTTAGCTCTTGGTATGATCAGTCTCTTTAATCCCTTTCCGTACTTGGCTCTTACTGACTGAAGGACTGGATGAGGGACTTTCCCTCTGATCCTCACAATAACCATGCGCAGTAACCATTTTCCCTATCTTTTGAAAATTAGGAACCTTAGATAAACCCAGAAGATTCAGAATATTTGTCCAAGAATATTGGTAGAGGATAGAATGAGAAATCACAATTTGGTCTGTTTTGCTTCAAAGACTTTTTTTTTTCCATTATGGTATATTGTGTTGTAAAACCTCACTAGTTTTGAAGGATTTGTTATAATAGAATATGAACTATGCATAATTTTCTGAAATTTTAATACATATATCACAAATTTGAATCTGTGGAGGGAGAAAATTATGATTTATATACCTTTGGTAGAATTATTTTAAAGTCCTTGAATATGCCTCAACAAAATAATACATATTTTTTTGAAATAAGTATTGGCTAGGAATTGAATAAGGCTTATACCTCAATATGAACCAGATGTTTTTTTCTTACATAGCGAAGGAAATTATAGAATATAGGATCAAACTCTATATTATTCTGATATAATTTTATTACTATGTGGACTCCTAGAAGGTAGCATCTTGTGCCTGAAAACATTGAGGTTGGGGATTTCTCTCATGCACTGGGCTGTGTTTATATGAGGTTATGCATGGCAGTTTGGCAGTTTGTTTTGCAGATGTTCCTAATGTACAGTCTTACATCTTGTTTCTATTTCTGGAATGCTTTTAAGTATGACTCACGCCTTCTTGAGGCTATGCTAAAAATACAGCTAGTTTTAAGCATTAATGTAAAATATACCACAGACACCACACAGCAGTACGTAATGCTTTCTCTCAGAGGTTTAATGCAATTTCCTGACAAATATTTTCTTTGACAAAACACACTCTACTAAAATATAAGTGGAAATGGGATTTTTTTTTTTTTTGAGAAGTGGGTCCTTTCATAACATAATATAAACAACAGAATGAATTTAAAATTTTAATAAAAGGAGTTAAATATGCTATTGGTATCACCAAAATCCAATAAATAGTATTAATGTCCAGAAAAGCAAGTCTACTACATTTAATGGAGCCTGCTGAGGTTAAAGGGAGAGCCTTTAAAAAGATTTTGGAAGGGCAATTGGACATATGGCTGGAATGCAAGCTTTGGACTCAAACAGTTTAGGTCTAACTCTTGGTTTATGCACTTATCATCTGTGGACAAAGGGTAATGAGTATTTAACAAATGCTTATATGGTAGTTACTATTACCAGACACTTCTCAATGCTGATTCAATCCTCATAACAACTTTATAACTCAGTTCATTTATCATCTCTATTATACAGTTGGAGAAAGTGAGCACAGAGGTTTTAAATACCTAAGTAAGGTTACATAGCTAGTAAGCAGAATTAAGATTTGAGCAGTTCAGTTGAGGTCTGTATCCTTACATACTGTATGTTGTAAGATCCAGATGAGACACTGTATGAAAAATCATATGTATTTTTACCTGGCACTTAACAAGAATGCAATAAATTATAACTATTATCATTATTATTGAGGGGAGGTAAAAGAAGGAAAAATATTACCAACACGATTGAAATAATGAGAAGCTGATTCCATGCCCAGATATCAATTTTCTTAAATTTATCATTTACTGTATTTTTCCTTTAACAAGCACTGTTTTATTGTATATATGAATATTTTTAATGAATTCAATTTGCTAGTTTATTGAGTTTTATCAAAATAGTACCAAATGTGATTTATTATGAGAATTACTTTCTTCATTCAATATTATACCTTTTAAGAGTTAAACATATTGTTCGGAGTAGTGGTAGGTTATTCTGTTTTTGTTATTATATAACATTTCATTCTGTGTGTTTTATCCATCTCCTACCTCCAATTTTATGTTGAATAATACTGTTATGATGTGTCCCCTAATGTACAAAAGTGAGAGTTTTTCTTATATACTTAGGAATGCACCTGCTGGTTCACTGGGTAATTTACAAATGGAGCAAACACAAATTAATTGTATTAATTCAAACATTTCAGAAGATGCTTAGGCAGAAGATGAATAGATTGATGGGTGATTTAATAGTAGACTTAGAAGGGTATTGAATGGAGTAATCTTCTATTCCCAAAAGAGTTGGTATAGAAGAAGAAACAAATTCTAAGGAAGGCATTTAAGTTTTCATAAAACATTTTATCTGTGAAGTGTGAGATCTCACATCTCATTGCTAAGTTATAATATAGTTTTCTTAAATTTCAAAAGACTATAATAATCATTAATCATCTGGGATGATTTCATCATTTTGTTCTAAAAGGGGTGGACTATAAAAGTGAGAAAAATAAGATACTATTCTTCATATCATACTTGAAAATCACTTTCATTCTTTTAGTGACACTTATAGATGAGTGTTCACATGTTCTTATAAGCTTTTAAGTGTTATGTACCTCTTTGTGATATCATAAACTTTCTCCTGTTTTAATATTGATAATGATGTTTTTATTGTAAAACACTAAAAATTCACCATGTGTATGTATCAATGTATGTGTATATGCATGTGTGTATGTATTTTAATATACAATTTACATTGATTGCTTGGAGGTTTATATTGTATGTAGGAGTTTGATCTGCATTTCACTTTATACCCCCTTCTCTGTCTAAAGTTTCAGATTCTCTGGCTCAGTCTGTAATTCAGCATCTCAGATGGATAATGCAGAAGGATCTTCTGGGGCAGGATGTCTTTCTAATAGGACCTCCTGGGCCTCTTCGACGCGCCGTTGCTATGCAGTACCTGGTGAGCACTCAATTCTTGCACATTCCTATGTTTTAACTTTGATAAATTATGTTGGGAAATTAATTAAGATTAAGGATTTATAAAAATATCACTGGAAAAAATTGTTAATGTTGGAGACTGCTTTGTTTACAAAGAGTTTGGAATAAGTTATTTGTGAAGCAAATGTATTACTTTTCATAGCTTTAGCAAATTTTTGTTATAGCTAGAAAGTTCTCCACTTCCAGTGGAAAGGAAATACAAATTCAGTCAGTGAATAGCACATAGAATCAGCAACTATGAGGTTACAAAACAAAACTTATTTTTATAATACTTAGGGAACATTCTCTTATCTCAGATCCACCTTTTAAAAGGCCAAATAATTCTCTTGACTTTTTGATATTACTGGTTTATGGTCTTTAGAAAGAGAGTCTAGGGTTTGTAGACTATCTCATGTGATATAAGAGAATATCTTATATTCTCTCTCTCTCTCTCTCTCTCTCTCTCTCTCTCTCTCTCTCTCTCTCTCTCTTTTAAATAGATGAGAAAACAAGTTCATTAAATAACTCACTCAAGCTCTCTTCAGTTAGGAAATGATGTAGCTAGACTTCAACTCTCATATTATGTCCCTTTCTGACAAGTTATCCTTTTTAAATGTATGTAGTCCTATAAGCATATTGTGACATGAGTTGAAGTACTCAATTTACAATCCAAAACAAAAATATTATAAGACTTCTTTCTATTTGTCTTCATTAATAGGCATTGTGATTCAAGGAAGAATGTTATCAAATGAAGTTGTTTTGTTCTGAAGATACTTTTTAGGATGAAGAGAAAAATCATTCTTAAATCTTCCTTGTGTTTTCAATATTAGTTTGTTAGTATGCTGTTGAAATATACTTTGTGTACTCTTTTATGTCACTGGTAAAATTATTTTGTTGCTCACAAAATCATGTAGGACAGGAATGATAATACAATGAGCAATTCAGAACTTAAGTACCTCTAGCCCATACATCTCATATCTTTTGTTCCTAGAACCAGTTTGTGAGGTATAATCCTCTATCCTCACTTTATTAACAGACAAGGCAAATCTGTCTTGTTTAAGAATGCAGAGCCAGCTATTGAGAATTCAAATTTTAGAACCTCTTTCATTTTAAGATGTGCACTTTCCACCTGTCCAATTTCAAAGCCTTCAATATCTCACTTTGTTTTGATTCTGGCAAGACTTGGAAGCTTGTTTGGAAGGAATGTAGAATGAGAAGGGGTAGGAGATTTTAGGAATCTTCTTGGTTAAAAATGCAACATAAATTTATAAGGTGATGTCTTTATGTTAAAATAAAATAAACTTTAAATTGTGAAATAGATCTGAGGCAGCTTTAGGATGTGGAAATGCACCTAAGAAAACTTACCAGCCTAAGCTGCCTCACAAACTCTGCAGTGGGCACTATGCTTACCTTAGTAATAGCCACAGAAAGGGAGGTCTATAAAGGCAAAAATTTAGAGGCAAGCCTGCTGAATCAGTGAGAAATTAAGTAGAAATAATCTGATAGTTGTGCTTACATTTACGTCATATAAAAGTGACTATAGATAATTAAAAAAAAAAAGAAAAACCCAGACCACTGCCGCCTCCTCTACCTGCTGCTTGGGTGCTATTTCTGAGCTCGCTCAAACTGCTTCTGTGCAGCAGAAGCAGCTGGAAGACTATGTGCTCATTTTGGCTGATGCAGAATCCTAGGAAACTGTCAGGACTGCGAATATCCTTGATGTGGCAGCTCAGGCTATTACGGTGGTACAATCTATATATATATAAAAGACTAAGCAACCGTCCAACCATTAGACCATCCAACTGGTAGTTATAACATGCACTGACCACCAGGGGGCAGATGCTCAGCAAGGAACTTCTGAGCTGCTGTGAATTGGCAGCTGTGGTTCTCAGGAGACTCATCCAGAACCAGAGAGGAGGGCGCTGATTTTGGGATGTGTCACTGGACCCCCCCAGGGGATGTCAGAGAGCCCATTTCAGCCTGATTCCTGCTGGCCTGCCCGAGAGACTAGTGTGCACTAGTGTACAAATCCGTGTACCAGGCCTCTAGCTTAGTGTTAAAAGGCATGCATCACTTTGTGAAGCAATGAGAATGACAGGGTTTCATAAATAAGAAGTAGGTATCTGCTAAAAAGAGAACTTGCTACTTTATTTGCAAATTATGTGCTCATAAGCAATTCATTCTTGTTTAAAAAAAAATCACTGCTATGATGTGTGTTTTCTCTATTTAAATTTTTTCCTTCTTTCCATGTATACTTAAATTTATGGGCATATTGCAACTGGCACATTTCAAGAAAACAAATTAAAAACAATAATATATTTTTATCACCATCACACAGAGATAAGGTGGAGAAAAAAAAATTCCTTTTCTGGAGTACTCCAGTAAATTAATTACTTGAGTAAGTAATTTACTGGAGTACTATATAAAGAAATAAGTTGAGTGAGCTTATGATTAAGGACTATTAATAGCATGCTCATTCAACTTTTTTCTTTATACTCCAATAAATTAGTTTTCCATTTTTAGTAAAAACATCTTGAATGCCTTATTTAATTGGAGAATGTCATTGTTTTCAATTCAATATGAAATCAAGGACAATGTTAAAAAATTTTATTCATAGATATTACATGTAGAGCAAAATAATTTTAGAAATGGATAAATTATTTTAAAAGAAATGAATTCTAGATGGTTTCCCTTTCAAATCATATGGGAATTTTTTTTTGGGTAAAATAATTCCTTTTTTCCCTCTTCTTCCTCTTCCTTCTTTCCCTCTCCTTTTCATCCTTTTATTTTTATTTTTTTCTCTCTTTTTCCTTTCTGAATAGCTGTTATGTATCTCTCTCTTCTGACTGTTGGTATATATCTTATTTTCATACATAGTAAAATACCTAACATAATGTATATAATTGGTAAACATTGGCTCATGGAATTAATTTAGACCACCCTTAAGAAGAAAATGAACATTACTTGCAGAAATGGCTATCATTGGGAGAACCAATTAGCCAAATTCTTTTTCATGACATTTAAAAAAAATTCTATAGGAGACATTAAGTTTTATAAGATCTAATTTTGATTATTGTTGTTTAAATAGTAAATATTAAGTAGTAAATTATGGTGTGCAGTAAAAGTAGAACTCTACATGCATTGATTAATGCTCAATTTATTGCATTTTTCTCAAAAGTTGAGACTCAAAAGGGTTTAATCCAGAATTATCTTTAAATATACTTCTCTAGGATGGTGGCATTGTCAGCTTCAAAGCTTATGTTGGAAATTTGATTTTGTTTTGGAACAATTTCACTCTCTGCCCTGCAGGAGCTGACCAAACGGGAAGTCGAATACATTGCCTTGTCAAGGGACACCACAGAAACTGATCTCAAACAGCGTCGAGAAATCCGTGCAGGCACGGCCTTTTACATTGATCAGGCAAGTTCTGGTCACGCTGTAACACATGACTGTTTACTCCATGTCTATACGGAATTGATTTTTAAAGTAGAAAGAGTGGTAGCTCATGTAATAGTGAAAAGTAGCTGTATTGTATTCTCTCTAGACAGAGTTGATTTCAATATTTTTTAGTTTCTGTTCTTGGAAATGCCTTTTTGGTTTGGTACCAAATAAAAACCACAGATAAAATTAATGGTTCTAAAATGTTGGCTAAAGATCATTTGCCATTTTCTTAATTTTCAATTACTTTCTACTGTGTTTTTTTTTTGGGGGGGGGTTCTTAGATACAGATTACCAATTAAAATAATATTTTATTAACATTATAATGAAGCTTGTTATACATTTCTTCAAATATTAAATATTGTTCTTTGTTAAAATACCTAGAGAAAAAAGGACAGAGTTTTTAAATTTGCAATTCATAGAGAAAATATTTTAAATGTTCAACACATTTGTGACAAGATGCTTGACCATTTTATTTATAAAAATAAAAATTAAAACAATAGTTAGCTGCTGTTTTTCTTCTATTTCTCAGATAAGCAAAGATTAAAGAATTTGTTAATGTCCATTGTTGATAAGGAAAAAGGGCTAAGGAAAGAGCATTGCTGTTGATGAGGTCATAAATTTATACAATTTGAAAGAAAATTTAGCAATCAATATCTATGTAAAGAATACATTTTATAAGGGGCTGATACACTGATAGTAATTCCCATATTCTCATGCCAAGTGTTTGTTCATTATATATCCAAGGTTACAAGATGTCTGTATAGATATGATAGATGTTTGTTAGATATGATATATACTCAAGGTTACAAGCTCTCTGCAAAAATAACTTACACAAAGACCTAGAAGGATATAAAAAGGGAATATTCCTTTCTGTGGTTGTTCAGAATTTGACAAGGTATTATGCTCTGAACCCGCATGCAATAGACAACTCCTAACTAATTGGCTTGTTAAGGTGTCTTGTACCTAGCCCACTCATTGATAATACAACACTGTTAAAGCCTATTATCTTTGGTCCTATAGCTAAAGTAAGGAGGCCAGCTGGAATGGGAGCTTAGTGTGACCCAAGAAATATTTCTATTACTAAAAGGAGTTTCCAGTACACTAAGAGAAAATGATTTGTACACAGAGAAAACAAATAAGTGAGAGGAACCAGACTTAAGTTTGCAAAGAATAAAATTGGTGTTTCTGTTGCTTTAAAATCCCATTCTATGCTTTCAGTGAATAAGACAACTGCCTATTCATTTAAGAAAAAACAATTCTTGCTTTACACGTTTATTTAAAGTAAATTCCAGATGATTGACAATATACATAAAATTATAAAATGTAAAAAAAAAATTAAAAAAAAATACATTTTAGCCAAAACTGGTTTGGCTCAGTGGATAGAGCATCAGTCTGCGGACTGAAAGGTCCCAGGTTTGATTCTGATCAAGGGCATTGGTTGCAGGCACATTCCCGGAAGTGGGTGTGCAGGAGGCAGCTGGTCAATGTTTCTCTCTCATCGATGTTTCTAGCTCTCTATCTCTTTCTCTTCCTCTCTGTAAAAAAATCAATAAAATATATTTTAAAAAATACATTTTGACCCAGCAGTTATATTTCTAGCAATTTTTAAAAATTGTTATTCACATAAGCATGCAAAGTTATATAAACAAGGATGTTTATTATGGTATTGTTTGATATCATATAAATGAAATTATAATGATGTACATTTAGGAGCTAAATAAAAAGTGGTAGAGTTAAGAAAAATGAGATGAATCTCTTTGTGGTGAAAGAAAAGAAGACTATGTGGATGAAAAAAAAAATAAGTTGCAAGATAGTGTATATAATATAATCCCATTTGTGATATAAGTAAAAAAAATCTCTCTCTCTACATAAGCCTAAGTGACCATTATGACCAAACAACTGGAATGACCAGTACCACCGGTTGACCATCGCTATGATGTGCACTGATCACCAGGGGGCAAACACTCAACACAGGAGTTTTAGTTCCCTAGTTGTTAGTGCACTCCCACAGCCAACCTCCCGTGGCCCCTCCACTTGGCCGGCTGGCCCCCATTGGCCCTTGGTGCTAAGCCATTCGTAGACCTATTTTGGGGACGGGATTTTTTATGTAGCAGAGCTGTTCCCTCTCTGCAGTCTATTGAGAGTCATCCCTTTACACAAAGGCTTGTCTAGCTCCCATGCTCTCCCTTCCCCAGGGGCCGCCTGCCTGCTGCGGTAACAGCAAAGCAGCGAGGGAAGGAGTAGGGAGGGAGGCAGGAACTATGCGTTGATGGGGTGCTGATGGTGGTGCCCATGTCTGGTGTCCATTCCTTCCACACCTGGCCCGGCGACTGTCACCTCCTCTCCTGACCCTGCTAGGGCCTTCAGACCCAGGCTGAGATGGGGAACTGTGGGTGGATTGTGGCAGACGCAGCCCCTTTCCCAGAGGGACCCAGGGCCAGCTCCCTCCTCGGGACTGGCAGCCATGTGCATGAATTCATGTGCCGGGCCTCTAGTAAATCAATAAGCACTTGTGTAAACCTTGGAAATTTCCAGAAGGAAACACAAAAATCAGCTAATAGAGCTCACCTCTGTGGAAAGGTGATTGGGCATCTGGGGTGGGCTGAGGAAGGAATTTTCATGGTTCTTTAAATTTGAAGCTATCACATGAGCACACAATTACTCTATAACTTAAAAAAGTATAATTGTAAAAAACTACTGTGTGAAAAAAAATTCTGAGGCCAGAATACTCACATGTTGCATAGATTACTATTAATTACAAAAGGAAAAATGTTAGTACTAAGTGTTTCCATATATTTTGCCAAATTGATAGGCTTTAATTTGTATTAAAAATTAACTAATCAGGTTGAATATTTTTATGTTTATTAACTATTGCTTCTTTAAGATATCGATGAATTGAGTGGATAAGGAAGGAGAGTGGTACTGATAACTTACAGAATATAAAACAAGTTGAAATGTACACCATGTTTATTTATGTAAATATTTGCTATAACTTATCTACTTGATATGAAGTTAATTTAAATATTTTAATGTAATTACTTTGGTAAGCAGATTACACATTGAAGAACTGGAAGAATTGGTTAAGGACCAGAAATATGAAAATTTATGGCTGATATTTTGACACAATGGAGAAATGAGAGATTTTTATTTGCCTCAGAAGAGAAAATAACCTGAAAAAGCCCAAACAATATTCTAATCTTTTAAAAATTGATTATTTTCCTCATTTTTTTCTTTATTTATTGCCATTCTAGTTATTTATTCTGTTTATTGCCATGTGACTCTAAAGAGGGGAAGTCTTTAAGTCAATATACAATTGCTTGGATTACTCAAATATAAGTCAATACAAATTAGGTAAGCTACAAATAAACAACATTTAGGTTTATATCTAACTGTGAGGAAACACTCTTTTTTCTCAAGTTAATTTTGGGAGTAGAAAGTCAGGATGGGAAGTTTAAATAGTTTTTTTTTTAAACTTTTTTAGCTAGGAACTCTTTTCACATTTGTATCTTGTTAATTTGTTTGACACAATACTGTGAATTTCCATGATGTACAATATACATGGTTAATACTAAGTATAAAGATGCACTTTAAATAATTATCTGATATTACTGTGTACTCTGTTTTTGATTATTCTTTTTTTTCATCTTTTTATTAAGGTATTATATCTGTACATATCTTTGTTTTGGATTATTCTTGATTCTCTCTTACTAATAGAAAAAAAATGAGGATTCACTTTTTAAAGGTACTGTTTAAATATTACAGGTCCTCAAAAGCAATTCTTTATAATAAATTGAATAATCGTGTTATTGATCAGAAAATATTTTTATCTTGTCTAAATTTCTTTTGCTTATTTTAGCTAGTAGGAGAAAAAGTTTATATTGTAAACTTTATCTCATTTATGAATGCTGAAGCCACTTTCCACATGTAACCACTGTGGAAACTACAAAGTAATCTTTTAGAAGTTCATTCATAAATTAAGTACATGGAATTTGAAAAGCATCTCCATCAGAAGCAGGCTCTTTAGAGAGGCTGAATTCTGGTACTTGCGTCGGACACTTTGCAGCCACATTGTCTAATAGGTTCTAATTGTCACTTGCACAACTGGAGAAAATCTGTCTGTGTGTACTGTGGCCTCTGGCTCCTTACCATGTTACCATCTTGCACAGGCCAATTCTTTTCTACTCATATAATGTTAACTGTTTGGCAGATTGTATAATTCATTTTAAAAAATCAAGGGGCATAACCATAACTTCTATTGAGGAGACCTTTGCTGTGGTAGGTGCATTTAATTATCAAAACATCCTTGGGAAGGAGGTGACTTCCGCAGTTTACAGGTGAAGTAACAGCCTTAGAGGGCCATGGCCATACAACTGATAAATAGCAGAGGTGGAATTTGTCCAGTTTTAGAGTTTAGCTTTTTTCTACCATATTATGCTACTTCCCTGAAAAAATGATGATAATGATGACAAATGATGACAATGACTACATGGATAATAGTATTCATAATAATAAAAGCCAATCCTTTTTAAAAGGCTTACTGTTTGCCACAGGTTATTTTATTTAATCTTCACCATAATCAATGAAATATGTACCATAGAGTAGCTTTACAAAGAAATGGAGACCCAGAGAGGTAAAATGACTAACCTAAGTCATTGATATTTTAATATTTTAAAGTAAAAAAAACTTGAAATGTAAAATTAAAATTTTTTTTCTTTGGCTTCCTAAATATATTATACTTGTAGCTTCTTTGAGTAATTTGAAGCTCTTTGGAATCTTACTATCATTAAATCATATATATATATATTTTTCTTTTCAAATGTGTACTTTTTAATAATAAGGATTTCATTATATTTATTTAAATTGTTATTAATCTGCATTCTGAGCACAAGAAAGAGAAATCGTACAGAGAAATAAAAATCAAAGTATTATAAAATACTGTCATTAAGTATTTGAGTGGATATTCATTATTAAGGCTTTAGACTATACAACCGCTCTGAGAATTAACTATTTAATAACTTATAAATGTATTAACAAAAAACTTTATGAAGTTATTATTTGATATTAGTATACAGCCATAAGTCCTCAAAGTCAGGTGATAACATGTAAGTGAAAAGTACAATAACTAGCCGATTTGGCTCGGTGGTAGAGCGTTGGTCTGCGGACTGAAAGGTCCCAGGTTCGATTCCAGTCAAGGGCCTGTATCTTGGTTGTGGGCACATCCCCTGTAGGGGGTGTGCAAGAGGCAGCTGGTTGATGTTACTCTCTCATTGATGTTTCTGGCTCTCTATCTCTCTCCCTTCCTCTATGTAAAAAATCAATAAAATATATTTTAAAAAAATACAATAACTAAAAGAAAGATTATATAGTAACAGACCATTAGTAAGCAATTTTGCCTTTCATGTAGCACATTCAGAGAATTCAAAGAAATTAAGGATTAATCAAAATAATGTTTTAAATCAACATTTTCCAATATGGTACAAACAATGCCAAGGAATAACAGAACTGCTCAAACCATTCACGTGAGCATTCATTAATCCTATTAACTACCTATTAATAATAGACATGCTCAAAAGAAAATATAGAATAATAATTGAAACAGAAAAGGGAAAAACAAAGTCAAATGTTTCTTAAACAAAGGGCAAATCCTATTTTAAAAAATGCTATCTCAAGAAAGTATTGCAATCACTGTTACCTATTATCTGCTACATTAAAGTTTTTATCACCAAGATTATGTAAGGCCTGCATGCCAAATTCATCTTGCAAACTGCTGTGGTCTACAGCAGGTGCATTGTCATGTGATGCTTCCAATTGGACACTCCCATTTCTCACCAGCAAGGAGGCACTAGCACTGAGCACTGCAGCCTGGGAAGGAGGGCGGGACTAGTCTTTGACCTGGGCTGTGGACTGCTGGCCTTGCTGCCCATCTTGAAGGTGCCACTAACTGCATCTTGCTCTTCACCTTCAGGAAATGCAACTTGGTGTGTCAAGCTATTCCTAGATCAAGTGACTGTCTCCAACTGGGAAGTCTGTCCCAATAAAGATAGCTCATCTAGCACATCTCCTTTGGCCTTGACGTCTGATTTTGAAATGGTTAAGGGTTTTATACTTTCGGGTGCCATTAGCCTATTGGAGTCATTCAAACATGCTACTGAGCTACTGTCCAGACTCAGCACTTGGACCTAAGTTTTGGCACTATTAGTGCTAGAAGTCCAACCTGTTGTCTAGTTTTTGCCAGTTCCTTCAGGACCCAAATGAGCTTTGTGTGTGTGCTCAGAGTCAGTGCCCTTTTCTGTAGGGACAATTGTCTATATTAATAATGATGTATATTTTAATGAGTTTGACACCTTTAACATTTTTCCACTACTGCTTTGATTCATGGCGTACCCTACCCCTCGAGGATATTCTCATTTAGGAAATGAGGACACAGACCTACAGAATAATTGTTTGCCTTAGGTCTTTTATCAAATCAGAAGCAAATCTAGGACAGGAGCTTAGACAGTTTTTGATTTTAGGTCATGCAGTTGCTTTTATCTTGAAATGCTTTGTGTCCACATGTTGGGTTGTTAAACCTGTTGTATGAAATGGTTTGTCCAGAAGGATCTTGCTGTGTTTGTTCCTGATTTCTCTGAGAAAACTAGGTCTCTGGAAGTTCTGTAGTTGGAAGAGCAGGATAGGATCCTTATGGTTGATCTAATTTCTTTAAAAAAAAAAAAAAAAAAAAAATATATATATATATATATATATATATATATATATATATATATATATATATTTCTTACAGAGAGGAAGGGAAAGGAATAGAGAGTTAGAAATATTGATGAGAGAGAAACAACCATCACACCTGCACACCCCTGCCTCCTGCACACTCCCTACTGGGGATGTGCCCACAACCAAGGTATGTGCCCGTGACCGGAACCAAACCTGGGACCTTTCAGTCCGCAGGCCGATGCTCTATCCACTGAGCCAAACTGGTTTCAGCTGGTTGATATAATTTCTGTTTTGAGAAATGATCACATAAAATATCTGTTCACTGCTCCCTTCTTTTTAAAAAAGAGTTCACTAGAAATTTTTGGTAAGTTTGTAATGTTGGCAGCTTTGAACATTAGAATAAACTGGAATTCATTTTAATGTGACTCTTGTTTAAAACCTTGATAGTCTCCATGTGTTCTCACCTTGCTTATTTGATTCTCCCAAGAAACTTGTGGGATGGATAGGACAGATTGTATCTTCATTTCCCTTCTTTAGTTAATTACTCTGTTTCCTTGTTTAGTGATGTTACCAATTCAAAGAGAGCGCTGAGTTTTCTATTTCATTGGGTTTTATCTGAAGTGTTACAACTGAAAGGAACGTTAGAGATTGTTTATTTTAATCTCTTCATTTTACAAATGGAGGAAATAGGCCTAAAAAGACAAAAATCACTTGTCTAAGGTCATCTAAGCAGACAAAGCAAAATCAAGAACTGGAACCCAGCTTTCCTGATTTCCAGTCCCTATAAGTATAATTTACATTACGAGTAAAATTGGACCATGCTCTGCTATCTTCTATATTTTCATATTGCTTTTGTTTCTTGGAAATAGTGTGCAGTTCGTGCAGCCACAGAAGGCAGAATTCTCGTTTTGGAAGGCTTGGAAAAGGCGGAGAGGAATGTTTTGCCTGTTTTGAACAACTTGCTGGAAAATAGGGAGATGCAGCTTGAAGATGGACGCTTCCTAATGTCTGCAGAGCGTTATGACAAACTTCTCAAGGTAAGAAAAGAAAAATTCAGCTGCTTTGTCATAGCTGCTGAGCTGTGGGTAGTGCCATTGTTGTGTAAGACACAACTGTATCAGAATGAGGACGCATGTCCAGGGGGCCCATATCTGTGGCAAATTGCTCAAGCCAGGTCATGAGTTTGTAGTTTTACAAGACTTCTAATATTTGTTGGCCATTTTAGAAAACATCCAAGATTTTGACTTCATGTTGCCAATCTAATAATTTTCTTTTTTTCTTCCTCCTTTCTCCCCTCCTCTCCTTCTTTTTTCCTTACCCTCTCTCTTCCTTTCTTCTTTTAATTCTTCCCTTTCCTGTCTTCCTTTTTTCCATCTCTCAACAACTATTTACTAAAAGCCTAATGGCTTCTAGAAAGTAGTAGGAATATAAAGCTGAAAAAAGTTCAGTTCTTGGCCTCAGGAAGTGCAAAGTCCAGTAGATATTGACAGAAATTAATAGGTATTTAAAAGATGCCTTGGCCCTACTAGAATTCCCTTTACTACATTTTAAACATGTCAGATAGGCATTCTTCTACTTATAGTTGCTTTGCACAAGCACTTGACTCTTCTGGAATGGCTTTCTCCCACATATCTGTCCAGCTTACTTCAAGTCTTTGATCAAATATTATATTACACTAGAGGCTCAGTGCATGGATTCAGTGAGGTCTCTTGGCCTGGTCTGTGCCCTCTTGCAATCTGGGACCTCTCGGGATGTTGGAGAGCTGGTTTCAGCCTGATCCTCATAGGCCAGGCCGAGGGACCCCACTGGTGCATGATCCATGCACTGGACCTCTAGTAAGATCTTTGTTTAATCTCTTCCTGCTCTCCCCATCACCCCTTTCCTTTGAGATCAGTCTGTTCCATGTTTCCATGCCAGTGATTTCTGGTTCTGCATTGAGCATCTTCCCCCTGGTGGTCAGTGTGCATCATAGCTACCAGTTGGCAGGTTGCTTAGGCTTTTATATATATACTAGAGGTCCAGTGTCCTGGAGGCAGGGTCCTTCAGGCTGGCCTGCCCCTTCTCACAGTCTGGGAGCCCTCAGGGGGAACGCCTCATTACACCTCTGCTGCTGCCACTGCCAGTAGTACAAGCCTCGGCAGGTCCTGGTAAACTGAGCCTTGGGTGGCCCTATGCGCTGGGCAGCTGCCATCTGAGGCTTGCCTGTACCTTGGGCCAGCCCTGGGTGGCTGGGCAGCTGCCATCTGAGACTTGCCTTTGCCTTAGGCTGGCCCTGGGTGGCTGGGGGGCTGAGGGGACTGGCTGCTGCCATCTTGTGGCTGTGGGCACCATCATCTTTGATGGTAAGGCAGTCAATTAGTATATTCCCTCCTTATTGGCTGTGGGTGCCACCATCTTTGCTACAGTGTGAGGGTCAATTAGCATAGTCCCTCTTTAATAGATAGGATGAGAAGGACGTACTACATTTTTTTCAATATAGTCATCAGTATAAATACGTAATTTTTATTAAGTATAATTTCTGTATTCATAGAATCTCTCATGGGAACCTTACAGAATATAGACAAGATCTCTTCACAAAACACCACCACTTTAAGATAATTTCTATGATAAAAGGATTTAAACAGCATAACTAAAGCCCCATTTATTTCTAATTGGATTCAATATGCTAAATTAGAATGAAATGATTTCATAGAGGTGATTATAGTAGAATATTATTATGGAAACAGATACAATTGGCTTATATAAATATTATTTATATTCCGATTAAAATTTTCAGATTAGTGGAAAATAGAAATATTTAGCTTTCTAAAAATTATACTCTTGGTTTCTCAGATAGGGTTATATCCAGAGTCTTGTTTTTTAGTGCATATGATATACCGTTAGTGTTAGTCCTATTAATTAAATATAGGGTCATGATTTTGGTAAAGCTAGAAAAAATTGTTCATTATGTTTTTTAATTATTTCATGCATTCAATCAACAGTTATTTGTCCTGCTATGTGCTAGAGGTAATAAGTCCTTGCATCCAGCAAGAGAAAGTCATGTAAAGAAGTCAGTGGACAAATGTATGATCATAGACACTTGCATAGGACATAGTGGAGGGATATGAAAGGAGGGGATGAGAAAGGGTCCCATTTTAAAGAAGATATTTTTTATGCTGAGTTTTGAATAGATAATACTGTGTTTAGGCTGTGCAAAGTGGAAAGAGAGTTCCAAACAAGTGGAGCAGTATTGGTGAAGTTGCATGATGTGTCTGGAGAGCCTCAGTTGTGAGATGGGCACATGCAGAGTCACGGAAGGCGGGCTGCGAGGGTGGGTGTGAAGTGGTTGCTAAGGCTGGAAGAATCAGACATGACTCTGACCAGGAAAGGCCTTGAGAGTCATGTTAAAAGTTTCTACACTGTCATGTGGGACACATTCATATCAACTCTGTAAATTCTGTGAATTCTAAAGCTGAGCACAGTGAAGAGCCATTGATAAAGTCAGGCAGATGTAAGGGATGGCATTTAATAGGTGCCTACTATGGACCAGTTGCTTTTATATATATAATCACATTTAATTTTCATAAAGCCATAGTAATGATGATACCAATGAATGGTGATACCATTCCCACTTTAAAAAAATTTTTTTTTATTGATTTTTCACAGAGAGGAAGGGAGAGGGATAAAGAGCTAGAAACATCGATGAGAGAGATACATTAACCAGCTGCCCTTGACCGGAATCAAACCCGGGACCTTTCAGTCCGCAGACCGACGCTCTATCCACTGAGCCAAACTGGTTTCAGCACCATTCCCACTTTTTTTAGGTGAGAAAGCAGAGGCTCATAGGGCACCAGAGCCAGGATTTAGAAATTTAAAACATGTACTGTTTCCAGTCTCTCAACTCCACCATATACTAGTTGCAGGATCAGGGGAAAGTTACATAACTCCTCTGAACAGCAGTTGGTTCACTCATAAAAAGGAATTAAATGACTGTTTAGATCCTGGTGAAAGTTAAATGAGAAAAATTCTTGGAAAGTGCTTACCATGTAATAAGTTTTCAATACATGTTTGTTAATGCTGTTATTATACCTTGGTAGACATAATTCTCTGCTTAAGGCCCATGGGCAAGCTTTGCTCTGCTAGCAGTCTGCACTCTGGGAGTACCTTTTTACATCCTCTGGTCTGAGCCAGTGTATTGTCCTTACCCTCGTAACTCTGTTACTCTGTGTTACTGCATTGGACTTAGAAACTGACCCACATGTCCTTTGTTCCTCGATATGTTCACTGCCTCTCCTTTTAACACCAGTCTTAGCATCCTGATCCTCCTTTCACTTTGCTTCCTTCCTTGACAGTTTGAGGAACTCAAATAGGTTACGCAACAGTCAGAGCCCAAATTTCTTAGCCTACGAGCTTGTGCAGTTGTAATCTATATTAGTTATGATGTAATGTTTGATCTCATACTCTTTAAGGATCATACCAAAGCAGAACTGGATGCGTGGAAGATTGTTCGAGTTAGTGAAAATTTCCGAGTGATTGCTTTGGGCTTGCCAGTGCCTAGGTACTCTGGGAATCCATTAGACCCCCCTCTCCGTTCTCGATTTCAAGCCAGAGATATTTATTATCTACCCTTCAAGGTAAGTATGAACAAGGAAAATTTATTTTTTAAACGGTTTTTCTATTCATAATAAATTCAATTACTATGAAAATGTTATTATGTTTGAAGATGTTCTTCTCACTAACTAATTGTAAGGAAAAAAGATATACGGTGAAAAAAAATTTCTGAAAATGAGGAGGAAAAATTATAGTGATATAATTTTTCTAACAGAATTTTTGTTATTGTTGTTAATCCTCATCCAAGGATATTTTTTCTATTGATTTCCCCCCATTATTATTTTTTAAATTCTTTATTGTTTAAAGTATTACTTATGTCTCCTTTTCCTCCATTGACTCCTTCCTGGCCAATCCCACCCCCCAGCCTCACCCCCCTAATGTCTGTGGCCATTGGATATGCTTATATGAATCCATTCAAGTCCTTTGGTTGATCTCTTACCCTCTTTCCCTCCCTCATCACCCCCCTCTTCTCAACCCCTCCCCCCCCCCCCATACACACACACACACCTTCCCTCTGAGGTTTGACAGTCTGTTTGATGCTTTTCTGTCTCTGGGTCTCTTTTTGCTCATTAGTATGTATTGTTCATTATATTCCACAAATGATTAGATCCTGTGATATTTATCTTTCTTTAACTGACAGATTTTGCTTAGCACAATGCTCTCTATATTCATTCATGCTATTGTGAATGGTAAGACTTCTTTCTTTTTTATAGCAGTGTAGTATTCCATTGTATAGATATTCCATTTTTTTATAAGCCACTCATCTGCTGATGGGACTTAGCCTTTTCTAAATCTTAGCTATTTGTGCTACTATGAACATAGGGGTGCATATATTCTTTCTGATTAGTGTTTCTGATCTCTTGGGATATATTCCTAGAAATGGGATTACTGGGTCAAATGGGAGTTACATTTTTAACTTTTTGAGGAAACTCCATACTATCTTCCACAGTGGCTACACTAGTATCCATTCCCACCAGTAGTGCAGGAGGGTTCCTTTCTCTCTACATCTTCGCCAGCACTTTTCATTTGTTGATTTGTTGATGATACCCATTCTGACAGATGTGAGATGGTACCTCATTGTTGTTTTGATTTGCATCTCTTGAATGATTAGTGACTTTGAGCATCTATACTAATAAAAGGGTAATATGCTAATTAGACCGGGATACCATCAGGGCATCCTTCCAGTCAAAGCTATGGTGGCAGGGTCGAGGCAGAGGTGTATAGGGGCAATCAAGCCAGGAGGGGAGGGCAGTAGGGGGTATCAGGCAGGTGGGGGAGCAGTTTGGGATGAGCAGCCAGCAGGGGAGTCAGTTGGGGGTGAACAGGCCAGCAGTGGGGGGCAGTTGGGGACAATCAGGCTGGCAAGGGGGGCAACTGGGGACAAGTTTGCTGGCCAGGGGGGTTTTGGGGGTGATCAGGTTGTTATGGGGGGCAATTGGGGGCAAGCAGGCCGGCAGGGAGGGGCAGTTGGGAGTGAGACTGGCAGGGGTGGAAGATGGGAGTGAGCAGACCAGTTGGGGGGGAGTGTATTTGGGGTTAATCAAGTCAGTTGGGAGGGCAGCTGGAGGCGAGCAGGACAAGGGGGAGGGCAGTTGGGAGTGAGCAGGCCAGCAAGGGTGGCAGTTGGGGCGATTAGGCTGGTAGGGGGTACTGTTTGGGGCGAGCAGGCTGGAGGGGGGCAGTTGGCTATAAGGCTGGTTGTGGGGGCAGTTGGGGATGAGAAAGCTGGTGGGGGCAGTTTTGGGGACAAGCAGGTCAGCAGGCAGGTGAACAATTAGGAACCAGCGGTCCTGGATTTTGAGAGGGATGTCTGACTGCTGGTTTAGGCTTAATCCCATAGAGATCATGCCTAAACTGGCAATTGGACACCCCCCGAGGAGTCCTAGATTGGAGAGGGTGCAGGCCAGACTGAAGAACATCACCCCCCCTCCCCTATGCACAATTTTTGTGCACTGGGCCTCTAGTGCTTTTATATGTCTCTTGGCCTACTGTATGTCTACTTTCTAAAAGTGTCTATTTAGGTCCTGTGCCCATTTTTTGATTGGATTGTTTATCCTCCTTTTGTTAAGATGTATGAGTTCCCTCTATATTTTGGAGATTAGACCCTTATTGTAGATAACTTTGGCAAATATGTTCTCTCATGCAGTGGGCTTTCTTATTGTTTTGTTGATACTTTCTTCTGCTATGCAGAAGCTTTTTATTTTGATGCCGCTTTTAAAAAAAATTATTTTATTGTTTAAAGTATTGTAAGTAGTAGTAAACATGTCTCCTTTTTTTCCCCATTGACCTTCCCCCAGCCTCCCCTTCCCACCAGAACATGCCCTCACCTCCCCCTGCCCAGTGACTTGTATCCATTGGTTATGCTTACCCATGTATACAAGTCCTTCAGTTGATCTCTTACTTCTCTCTTCTAACTCTCCCAGCTGTCCCACTATAGTTTGAAAATCTGTTTGATATTTCCCATTCCTCTGTATCTATTTTTGTTCATCAGTTTATAATGTTCTTTGGTATCCATAAAGAAGTGAGATCATGAGGTATTTTTCTTTTACTGACTGGCTTATTTCACTTAGCATAATGCTTTTTAGTTCCATCCATGCTGTTGTGAATGGTAAGAATTCAGTTCCATCCATGCTGTTGTGAATGGTAAGAATTCCTTCTTTTTTACAGCACCATAGTATTCCAATGTGTAGATGTATCATTGTTTTTTAATCCATTCATCTGCTGATGAGCATTTAGGCTGTTTTCAAATCTTAGCTATTGTAAATTGTGTTGCTATGAACATAGGGGTGCATATATCCTTTCTGCTTGGTGTTTCTGAATTTTGGGGATATATTCCGAGAAGTGGTATTACCCGGTCAAATGGCAATTCCATTTTTAATTTTTTGAGGTAATGCCATATTGTTCTCCACAGTGGCTGCACCAGTCTGCATTCCCACCAGCAGTGAAGGAGGGTTCCTTTTTCTCCGCATCCTCTCCAGTACTTGACATTTGTTGATTTTTGATGATAGCCATTCTGACAGGTATGAGATAGTACGGCATTGTTGTTTTGATTTGCATCTCTTGGATGATTAGTGACTTTGAGCATGGTTTCATATGTCTCTTGGCTTTCTGAATGTCCTCTTTTGAAAAGTGTTTATTTAGGTCCTTTGCCCATTATTTTGATTGGGGTGTTTATCTTCCTTTTGTTAAGTTGTAAGAGTTCCTTGTAAATGTTGGAGATTAAACCCTTACCAATATAAATTGAGCTTACTTTCTTGGGTCGATTTCTGGATTCTGTCTTCTGTTCCATTGGTCCATATGTCTGTTCTTGTGCCAGAACTAGGCAGTTTTGAGAACAATGGCTTTGTAGCTTAATATCTGGTATTGTGATCCCTTCAACATTGTTCTTCTTTCTCAAGGTTGCTGCAGCTATTCTGGGTCTTCTTTTATTACAGAAAAATTTTTGTGGAATTTCTACGTTTTTGAAGTATGCCATTAGTATTTTAATAGGGATTGCATTGAATTTATAGATTGCTTTGGGTAGTATGGACATTTTAATTATGTTGATTCTACCAATCCATGAACACGGTATGTTCTTCCATCTGTATATGTCTTCCTCTATCTTTTTTAGCATCCTGAAATTTTCTGAGCACAGGTCCTTTGTCTCCTTGGTTAAATTTGATCCTAGGTTTCTTTTTGTTGTTGTTGTTGCAATGGTAAATGGGATTGCTTTTTAGAATTCTCTTTCTGTGAGTTCATTATTGGTGTGTAGAAAAGCCATAGACTTATGCGTGTTAATTTTGTATCCTGGTACATTGCCGAATTCATTTATTAAGGCTAGTAGTTTTAGGATGGAGTCTTTGGGGTTTTCTATGTACAATATCATATCATCTGCGAATAAGGACAGATTTACTTCTTTTTTTTTTCTTTTTTTTTTTTTTTTCTTTTCTTTTTCCAATTTGGATGCCTTTTATTTCTTCTTCTTGTCTGATCTCAATGGCTAGTATTTCCAGTACTATGTTGAACAGGAATTGTGAAAGTGGTTATTCCTGTCTTGTTCTTATTCTTAGGGGAAATGATTTTAGTTTTTGCCTATTGGGTATGATGTTGGCTATGGGTTTGTCATATATGGTTTTTATAATGTTCAGGCATGATCTTTCTATTCCCACCTTGCTGAGGGTTTTTATCAAAAAAGGTTATTGGATTTTGTCAAATGCTCTTTCTGCATCAATGGTTACGATTATATGGTTTTTATCTCTCAGTTTGTTTATGTGGTGTATCAAATTTATTGGGGATATTGAATTGTTTATCCTTTCATCCTTGGAATAAATCCCACTTGGTCATGATGTATGATCTTTCCGATGTAATGATGGATTTGATTTGCTAGAATTTTGTTGAGATTTTGGCATCTATGTTAATGAGGGATATTGACTTGTAATATTCTTCCCTTATATTGCCTTTATCTGGTTTTGAAAGGTTAAACAAGAATTAGGGTAAATGCTGGCTTTGTAGAAAGAAATTGGAAGTGCTCCTTACTCTTGAAATTTTTGGAATAGTCTGAGGAAGATAGGTTTTATTTCTTCTTTGTATGTTTGACAAAACTCCCTTGTGAAGCCGTCTGGTCCAGGGCTTTTGTTAGTTGGAAGTTTTTTGATTACTGCTTCAATTTTCTCCATAGTTATTGGCCTATTCAGATTTTTTCCCCCCCTCCAAGTTGAGTTTTGGAAGGTCATATTTTTCTATGTATACGTCCATTTCTTCTAGGTTGATCAGTTTGTGGGAGAACAGTTGCTCATTGTATTTTTTTGATTCTTCGTATTTCAGAGGGGTCTGTTGTTATTTCACCTCTTTTGTTTCTAATTTTGTTTATTTGGGTCCTCTCTCTTTGCTTCTTGGTGAGCCTGGCTAGAGGTTTGTCAATCTTGTTTAACCTTTCAAAGAACCAACTATTGGTTTCATTGATCTTTTGTATTTGTTTAAAGTCTCGATGTCATTTATTTCTGCTCTGCTCTTTCTTATTTCCTTCTTTCTGCTCACACTGGACTTTTCTTATTGCTCTTTTTCTAATTCTTCAAGTTGCAAAGTTAAATGATTTATTACCAGTTTTATTTTTTAGATATGCCTGTAATGCTATGAACTTCCTTCTTAGTGTTGCTTTCATTGTGTCCCAAATATTTTGGATTGGTGTGATTTCATTGTTGTTTGTTTCCAGGATGTTTTTTTTTTTGTTTGTTTTTGTTTTAACTTCTTCTTTGATATCTTTGGTAACCCACCCATTGTTTAATAGTATGCAATTCAGCCTCCAAGTGTTTGAATTTTTGTGATTTTACTATAGTTGACTTTTAATTTTATGGCATTGTGATCTGAAAAGATGCTTGATATGATTTCAATCTTCTTGAATTTGGAGAGACTTTGCCTGTATCCTAATATATGGTCTACCTTTGAAATGTCCCATGTGCGCTTGAGAAGAATGTGTATTCTGTAGTTTTGGAGTGGAATGTACTATAGATGTTGATTAAGTCCCTCTGATCTAGTGAGTCATTTAGGATTGCTGTTTCTTTGCTAATTTTTTGTCTAGAGGATTTATCTAGTGATGTCAATGGAGTAGTAAAGTCTCCTATTATGATTATATTGCTGTTGATTTATCCTTTGATGTCTTCTAGAAGTTTTTATTATGTATTTTGTTGCTCCTGTATTGGGTGAATTTATGTTTACCAGAGTTACATTTCTTGGAGAATTTCTCCCTTTAGTATTATGAAGTGGCCTTCCTTATCTTTGGCCTTCACTTGGAGGTCTATTTTGTAAGATGTAAGTATTGCTACCCCAACTGTTTTTTCATTTCCATTTGCCTGTATAATGTTTTTCCATAACTTCACTTTCAGGTTTTGAGTGTCCCTTGTTCTGACATGGATCTCTTATAGACAGCATGTATGGGTCAGGTTTTCTTATCCAGTCAGCCGCCTGATGTCTTTTATTGGAGCATTTAACACATTTATGCTTAAGGTTTTTATTAATAAGTAGTTGTTTGTAGCCATTTTTATTATATATACATGTGTTCCTTCTTCCCTTTCTATTCTTTTTACAACCATTCCTTTAGCATTTCTTTCATTGCTGGATTCATAGTGATAAACTCCTTTTGTCTTTTTTATTTTTTATCTACAAAGCTCTTGATTTTTCCTTCAATTTTGAACGGTAGCCTTGCTGGATAGATTATTCTTGGATTTAGTTTCTTGCTTTGCATCACTTTATATACTTCATTCCATTCTTTTCTGGCCTGATGTACTTCTGTCTCTGGCTCTCTCTTTCAGCCTTTAAGATTCTCTTTTTGCCATTAACGTTTGTCATTGTAATTACAACGTGTCTTGGTATGGGTCTTTTGGGGTTCATCTATTGTGGGACTCTGCACTTAATGTGACTGTTTTCTTTTCTCCAAATCAAGGAAATTTTCTGTTATTTCTTCGTATTGTTTTCGTAACCCTTGCTCCTCTTCTTGTCCTTTTGACATCCCTGTTATATGTATGTTACTTGGTTTCCTGTTGTCCCAAAACTCCATTAAGCTCTCCTCTTGCTTTCTAATTTTTTTCTCCATTTGATGTTCAGATTGGGGGTGTTTTCTGCCTTGTCTTATAACTCCGCTTCTTCTAGTGTGCTGGTGAAACCTTCCAATGTGTTTTTTATTGTAGTTATGTCATTTTTAATATCCTGTTGATTTTTACATTAGTTGTTGATTTTCTTAACCAGCCGGTTTAGGAACTGCATGACCCTTACTTGTCATTCTTTTTCTGACCTATTGCATGCCTCTGTTTCATTTAGTTCCTTTTTGTGACAATTATTTTTTTCCTTTCCTTTGCGGGTTGTTACTTTGTCTCCCCATTTTTTGTTATCTCTTTCTGGCCCTGGGCTCCCTGCTTGGTGTCTAAGATATTGAAGCTCCTAGCAGTTCAGTCATCTGGGACTTGCTAGACTGGAGGCTGGGTCTGGCTTTTGTTTCACCCCTTTATTGTCTCCACTCTGAGTTGCTCCATCCTTCTGCCTGGTTCGGTTTCTTAATTGTCCACTTCAGATTCTTCGGGTCAGCAGGGGTGTATGCACAGTTCCTCTGGTGTGCGACTCCCTGTGAGAACTCAGAGCCCTCTGGCATGCAATTCACTCTGCAGCCTAGGCACCCAAGGTAAGATGGCGCCCTAGGTCCCTCTGGCAGTGCACATGCAGTGTGGTTCTGTGACCTTTGGCGGGGCACACCAGGTTGCACCAGCAGCTTTGACTTGGGCTGGGGTTAGTACGTGCGCTATGTGACAGTTTTGTTTGTCCAAGGAGGTGGAGCCTCCCCAAATACTCTGACTGAGCCAGGGGGCAGACCCCGCAGTGTACTTGGCAGTAGGGACGGGCACTCTGAGTCCCAACAAGCGGTCCAGGTGTCAAGTTGTCAGATCCTGTGGCTGAAGTTGCGGCCTTTTCGGGAGGGAGCATGCTCTGGGGCTCATAGGAGACTGTGGCCAGGGATGCTGCAGTTCTGGAGGCTGTGTGTCTGCAGTTGAGGTATCAGGTTTTTGGCTGGAGTGTTATAGGGTCCCGGATGGTGTCTGAGGCCTATCTGGGTGGTGGTGAGGCTGGGCTCCTAATCACAGCAGCTCTTCCCTTCAAGATTGCATGGTTTCTGTGCCAGAGCCAGCCTCCCCTGGAGTACTTGCAGTTGTATGAAGGGCTCTCCTAAAGAGCTCAGTCTGTCAGTCTCTGAGACTCCTGCAGGATCTAACTGTCCCTCATATACACACACACACACACACACACTCACCACAAGTTCCATACACTGCCTTTTCACTCCCCCCTCACACTCTCTCCCTTACTGTTGTCCTGCCAGCTGCCATCTTAACACTCCTCAATTGATTTGTTTTTTAGAGAGTGCGAGATAGGAGAAAGAGGGGAGGGAGTGGAGAAAGGGGACAGAGGGGACAGAGGGGTGGGGGGAGAGAAAGAGAGAGGTTGAGAGAGAGAGAGGGAGAGAGAAAAGCATGGATATGAGAGAGACACATTAATTGGTTGCCTCCCACATACACCACCTGACTGGGTAGGGAACGGACCTGCAACCCAGGTACGAGCCCTTGACCTGGAGCCCTTTGGTTTGAAGACTTACACTCTAACCACTGAGTAATGTTGAACAGAGCTCTAACAGATTTTTTTAAAGGAGGTTATTACTTTTTTTAAAAAATGGAATGTATCAATAAATTATATTTTGCTCTTAATTACTTAGTGTCTGATTAATTCAAAGATTGGATTTTTGAGAAAACATTTGTATTTAATTCATTATATTCCTTATTAATTGTTTTGATGTTTCTATGTTTTTTTAGGACCAACTTAAACTATTATATTCTGTTGGATCCAATGTTTCTGCTGAAAAGTAAGTCAGCTATACATTTATATATTTTTATATAAATATATGGACACTTAACATGAATTTGTATTGCCCATTGATTGAATTATTCATTCAATTGACAATTTTTGAAGAATTTTTTTAGTAGTTGTGGTAAGTTCTGATGATAAAAATAACAAAGAAGATGATAAAGGTAAAAATCATGGTAAAGGCATATTTGATGGTAAGAAACTCAAACTCTAGAAGAGGTTAAAGATATTTGAATATTTAACATATTTAACATAGTATAATAAAGTAATACTTTCAAAGTTGTGGTTGAAAGTTTATATGGATTTCATAAAGGCATTGGCATTTGCGATGGGTTCTAAAGAATGAGTATGCTTTGCCAGATAGATAATGGAATTAGAAATTCTAAGAATATTTTTAAAAGTATGGTATATGAGAATATGTCTCATTTTTGAGGCTACAAAAAGCTGCAGGTGGCTAGAGATAGATTTAGATTGAGATTGGGAGGTGAGGCTGCCAGGTTATGAAAAACTTCACATATTTTGATGAATGTAAGAAACAGATCTGTTATCTAATCATTTGAGTTTTGAATGGGGTATTTTAATGTGGAGCTCTTGTTCCTTAATAAATTAATAGATGTCATCTTAAATTTAACATATATTTGTGCACATTATATATGAAAACTATTAAAATAAAACTTTAATACCATTTATCTTTTTCCCCTAGAGTTTCTCAGCTTTTGTCCTTTGCTACCACACTCTGTTCGCAAGAATCTTCTACTCTAGGACTTCCAGATTTTCCTTTAGATAGTTTACCAGCTGCAGTTCAAATCCTGGTACGTATAGTAAATTAATGACTGTTGTACCCAAATGTGGCAAAGAATTTAAAATGGATATTCATCACTTCAGTTTGCTTTTTTAAATATTGCCAGAACTTATTTGAATTTATTGTGCAGTGCAGCAGACTGAACAGAGACCAATGGTATGTTCTGAGCCCTTAAAAGAGCTTAGTCTTAGAGATGGGAAGGTAGAGATGCAACTCAAGTAAAAATTCCGCAGAGAGAAAAACTTTAGCCTGATCACACAGAGGTATGCTCTAGTGTAAGTTGTGCCTCAAACTTGCCCCTACCTGATGTGAGGGAGCTGGGGCTTTCACACTCAAGCACCATTAGTCATTGGTAAATGGCTGTCCCAGAATACACAGGTTCCCAGGTACTAGCTGATCTCCCAGCCTTGTGCAAAGCTGGCTCAGATTATAGGTAGACCTATAGCAACTGGCTACTAGAAGGGAAAGCTGGATGCACAGAAAAGATAAGGACAGGTCTGAGGGGATTTGGTGAAATACTGACAATTGTCCACTACACTATCACAAAAGTCATGACAGTAGTATCTGGAGGGTGGAAGGACCCTGCAGGCAGAGGGAACAGCACTTGCAAGGGTGTTGAATCATAAAAGGGCCTGGTATGTTTGGCCAATAAGTTGTATCGCTAGAGCAAGCCTGTATAGTGAAGAAAGGGATTAGAACCTTAGTGTAAAGTGTTTTACATGGTGAGTAAAGTTGTATAGGTTTTATTATGTGGAAGAAGTGGCTTATCAAACATTATTAAGTAGGTAGCAATCAGATATAGGGGTGGGCAAAAGTACATTTACAGGTTAGAGGAAGTTAGCTCTGTTTACAGGAGGAGGGATGGGGAGAGACTGGATGCAGAGGGAGCATATAAACTGTTAAAATAGAGACTCTGCCAAGGAGCCTAACTCGAGGTACTGGGAACACCACCTAGATGAGACATTTTAATTTTATTTATTTTAATATATTTTTTAAAGTTTATTTTAATTTTTGATACTATTACAGATGACCCCATTTTTCTTCCACTTTGCCCATCTCCCCACCCAGCTTCCATCCCCTCTTCCTTCTGGTTATCACTGTCTATGTCTATCGTTATATATATATTTTCTTTGGCAAATCCCTTCTTCTCCTTTTATCCAGTCTCCCTCCCCACTTCCCTCTAACAGCTGTTGGTCTCTTCCTCGTATCCATGCTACTGTTTTAGTTCGTCAGTTTACTTTGTTTATTAGATACCACATATATGTGAAATCATATGGTATTTGTTTTTTTTTCTGACTGGCTTGTTCCACTTACCATAATAATCTCTAGGTCCATCCATGGTATCATAAAAGGAAAGATTCCTTTCTTTTTACAGCTGAGTAGTATTCCATTGTGTAAATGTACCACCACTTTTTTTTATCCCCTCATTTATTGATGGACACTTGGCCTAATTCCAGATCCACTCATCTACTGATGGACACTTGGCCTTTTTCCAGATCTTGGCTATTGTAAATAATGCAGCTATGAACATGAGGGTGCAGATATTCTTTTGAATTGGTGTTTTGGGATTCTTAGGATATATTCTCAGAAGTGGTATCACTGGGTCAAAAGGCACTTAAATTTTTTAATTTTTTTGCGGAAATGCCATACAATTTTCCACAATGGCTGCACTAGTTTGCATTCCCACCATCAGTGCATGAGTCCCTTTTCACCACATCCTTGCTAGCACTTGTTTGTTGATTTATTGATGGTAGCCATTCTGACAGGGGCGAAGTGATAACTCATTGTGATTTTAATTTGTATCCTAGGGCAAGGAAAACAAAGGGAAAAAAATAACCAAATCAGATTACATCAAACTAAAAAGCTCATGCACAGCCAAAGAAACCATCAACAAAATGAAAAGAGGGTCCACTGAATGGGAGAACATGTTTGACAATGATATATCTGATAAAGGGTTAATTTCCAAAATATATATTAAAAAAACCTCATACAATTCAATACCAAAAAGACAATCCAATTAAAAAATGGGCAAAGGACCTGAATAGACACTTCGCAAAAGAGGACATACAGATGGCCAATAGACATGAAAAGATGCTCAATGTCACTAATCATCAGAGAGATGCAAATTAAAGCCACAATGAGATATCACTTAGATGAGACATTTTTAAAACTTATGTTGCAATTTGTTTTAAATTTCCTGAGAGTTGGTGAGTTAGATTTCCCAGGTATTGCTCACATTGTTCTATACATCTAGAACAGTTTTTCTTATTCTTTTTGTTATGTCTTTTACTTTTCATTCTTTTGTTTTTGCTCAGAATTTTTTACTTGAATAATTCTTAAACATAAAAAAAGGTTAAAAATATTAAAATGAACATATCTAATTCCATCAAATAAAATCACTAATTGTTAACATATTGCCACTTTTGCTTGCTCTCTCTCCCCCCCCCCCCCCCCCCCCCGGATCATTTGAAAGTGCACAACAGTTAACATTCTTTTTAAAAAAAAATATATTTTATTGATTTTTTTACAGAGAGGAAGAGAGAGGGACAGAGAGTTAGAAACATCGATGAGAGAGAATCATCAATCAGCTGCCTCTTGCACTGGGGATGTGCCCGCAACCAAGATACATGCCCTTGACCGGAATAAAACCTGGGACCTTTCAGTCCACAGGCCGACGCTCTATCCACTGAGCCAAACCAGTTTCGGCAACAGTTAACATTCTTAATACTTCAGTATGCAACTTCTCAGAATTAGGACATTCTCTTACATAACCAAACACCATTACCATATTAACAATAATTCTATATCATCTAATAGAGGGTCTTTACTAAATCTTCCCTAATTGTCTGTTAAAAGACTTTTAAAAGTAAGGTGAACTGAATTGAGAAAGCAATTTATAACTTTGAAGGTAGGTGAATATGGATGAGATTGAACTTAGGAATAAAGATGGAAGAGAAGGGAGTTTGGGACAAGTAGGGTAGGGAGATGTGTTCAGACATGCAATTTCAGTCATGTTGAATGGAGGTTACTGGAATATTCATATAGTCACGTCCAATGTGCAATTGAGAGTTCAAGTCTAGAGCTCAAGAAAGAGGTCAGGACTATAAATATGGAAGCTATCAACACATAGATGGTAGTTGAAAGATGGGTATGGGAGAGGTTACCAAAGGAAAGGAAGTGGAACAGGAAGAAAAGTGGAAGTAATGAATATATGCTTATGTAGACTTTTGAAAAATATGAGTAGCCTATTGGTTATTGTTTATAAGGCAATTTTAATGTCATATGTACATTTCAGATAATTTTTCAAATTTATTTTAGATGTTCCTCATTCATATATATATATTTTTGCTCCTAAATAGAATTCCTTTCCTATGATGTCAATCAAACATGCAATTCACTGGCTTTACCCGTACACCATTTTACTAGCACAGGAAGGGAAGATGGCTGTGGAAGATATTTTAAAAGTAAGTATTTTCTCCCTTTCTCTTTCCCTTTCCCTTCCTCTTATACTTTCTTTTTACCTTTTCTTTCCCCCTCCCCCTCCCTTTCTACTCTCCCTTCTCTTCTCTTTTTCTACCCTCTTCCTACCTCTTTCTTCCTGCTTTCCTACTTTTCTGTCTCTATCTTTCTAAGTTTCCCTTCTCTTACTTTGTAGGCATGGGGACATTGGCATGCTATTGATGTGGGCAGCAAGCGTTGAGGTGGCTGGTGTGGTCGGGAGATTGGTTTTATTGAGTAAATATGTAAATGAGCAAATAATGAATATATTGAGGAAAATAAGATCTGCATTTTTCACTGTTGGAGAAGGAATTTATAAACAGAAAGGGAGGATGAAAGAACCCTCAGGTATTATATTGGAATTGGAGAAATTGGTATGAACTCATTTTTTTTTTTTTAGTTTTTGTTTCTCTTTTTTTTCTCACTTTTTTTTAAATTGTCTAAAGTTTTACATAGGTCTCCATTTTCCCCACTTAACCCTGTGCCCCAAGCTATTTCCACTCCAAGCAAGCCCCACAGCCCCAGTATCTATGTCCATTGGTTATGCTAATAGGCATGCATACAAGTCCTTTAGTTGCTCTCTCACTCTGCCTCTCCTGCTATTTGTCTCTGGATCGATCTATTCTTGTTCATGAAATTATGTTGATCATTATATCCCACAAATGAATGAGATCATGTGATATTTATTCTTTCTCCGACTGGCTTATTTTGCTTAGTATAGTGCTCTCCACTTTCATCCGTGCTGTTGCAAATGATAAAAGTTCCTTATTTTTTTATAGCAGTGTAGTATTCCATTGTGTAGATGTACCGCAGTTTTTTAATCCACTCATCTGCTGAAGGGTACTTAGATTTTTTCCAAATCTTAGCTATTATAAATTGTGCTGTTATGAACACAGGGAGGTATATATCCTTTCCAATTGGTGTTTTTGATTTCTTGGGATATAGTCCTAGAAGTGGGATTACTTGGTCAAATGGGAGTTCCATTTTTAACTTTTTGAGGAAACTCCATACTGTCTTCCACAGTGGCTGTACCAGTCTGCATTCCCACTAGCAGTGCATGGGGGTCCCTTTTTCTCCACATTCTTGCCAGCACTTGTCATTTGTTGATGATAGCCATTATGACAGGTGTGAGATGATACCTCATTGTTGTTTTGATTTGCTTCTCTCAGATGATTAGTGACTTTGAGCATATTTTCATATTTCTCTCGGCCTTCTGTCTGTCCTCTTTTGAGAAGTGTCTATTTAGGTCCTTTGCCCATTTTTTGATTGGATCATTTAACTTTCTTTTGTTAAGTTGTATGAGTTCTCTGTAAATTTTGGAGATTACACCCTTATCAGAAATATTATTGGCAAATCTGTTCTCCCATGCAGTAGGCTTTCTTGTTGTTTTGTTGATGGTTTCTTTTGCTGTGCAGAAACTTTTTTATGTAGTCCCATTTGTTTATTTTCTCCTTAGTCTCCATTGCCCTAGGAACTGTGTCAGTAAAGATGTTGCTATGACATATGTCTGCTATTTTGCTGTAAGATTGGTTTCCTATCTTACATTTAAGTCCTTTAGCCATTTTGAGTTTATTTTTGTCTGTGGTGTAAGTTGGTGATCTAGTTTCATTTTTTTGCATGTATCTGACCAAATTTCCCAACACCATTTATTGAAGAGACTGTCTTGTCTCCATTTTATGCTTTTGCCTCCTTTGTCAAATATTAATTGAGCATAATGGGTTGGGTCAATTTCTGGGTTCTCTGTTCTCTTCCATTGGTCTATATGTCTGTTCTTGTGCCAGTACCTGGTCGTTTTGAAAACTGTGGCCTGGTAATATAGCTTGATATCTGATATTGTGATCCCTCCATCTTTGTTCTTCTTTCACAGGATTGCTATGGCTATTCAGGGCCTTTTTAAATTCCAGATCAATTTTTGGAGAGTTTGTTCTAGATCTTTGAAGTATGCTCTTGGTATTTTTATGCAGAGTGCATTGATCAATAGATTGCTTTGATAGTATGGACATTTTAATGATGTTGATTCTACCAATCCATGAATATGGTATGTTCTTCCATTTGTTTATGTCTTCCTCTGTCTCTTTTTTCAATGTCCTGTAGTTTTCTGAGTACAGGTCTTTTATATCCTTAATTAAGTTTATTCCCAGGTATTTATATATATATATATATATATATATATATATATATATATATATATATATTATTGATTTTTTTTACAGAGAGGAAGAGAGAGATAGTGAGTTAGAAACATCGATGAGAGAGAGTCATTGATCAGCTGCCTTTTGCACACCCCCTACTGGGGGTGTGCCCGCAACCAAGGTACATGCCCTTGACCGGAATCAAACCCAGTACCCTTCAGTCCACAGGCAGACACTCTATCCACTGAGCCAAACTGGTTTCAGCCCAGATATGTTTGTTTGTTTGTTTGTTTGTTTATTTATTTTGTGCAATGGTAAATGGGATTCCTCCCTCCCCCCCCACCCCGTTTCTCTTTCTCGAGTTCGTTATTGGAGTATAAAAAAGCCATATATTTCCTGGGTGTTAATTTTGTATCCTGCTACATTGCTGAATTCATTTATTATGTGTAGTAGTTTTTTGATGGAGTCTTTGTCATTTTCTCTGCACAGTATCATGTCATCTGTGAATAAGGACAATTTTACTTCTTATCCAATTTGGATACCTTTTATTTCTTCCTCTTGTCTGATCGCTATAGTTAGCACTTCCAATACTATATTGGACAGGAGTGGTGAAAGTGGGCATTCCTGTCTTGTTCCCAGTCTCAGGGTAAATGAGTTTAGTTTTTGCCCATTGAGAATGATGTTGGCTGTAGGTTTGTCATATAAAGCTTTTATTATGTTGAGGTGTGATACATCTATTCCCACTTTGCTGAGAGTTTTTATCAAGAAAAGATGTTGGATTTTGTCAAATACTTTGTCTGAACCAGTTGATAATATTATGTGATTTTTGTCTCTCAATTTGTTTATGTGATGTGTTACATTTATTGATTTGCAGATATTGTTCCATCCTTGCATCCCTGGAATAAATGCCACTTAGTCAAGGTGAATGAACTTTCTAATGTAATGCTGAATCCAATTTGCTACAGTTTTATTGAGGATTTTGGCATTCAAGGATATTGCCTGTAGTTCTCTATCTTTGTGGTATCTTTATCTGATTTGGAATTAGGGTGATGCTGGCTTCATAGAAAGAGCTTGGAAGTGTACCTTCCTCTTTAAGTTTTTGGAATAGTCTGAGAAGGATAGGTTTTAGTTCTCTTTTGAACGCTTGGTAGAACTCCCCTGTACAGCCATCTGGACCAGAGCTTTTGTTTGCTGGAAGATTTTTGATCACTGCTTCAATATCTTCGGTAGTTTTTGGCCTTTTCAGGTTTTTTTTATTCTTCCTGATTGAGTTTTTGGGAACTTGTATTTTTCTAAGAATATGGCCATGCCATCTAGGTTGTTCATTTTGTTGGAATACAGTTGTTCATAGTATTTTTTTCATAACATTTTGTATTTCTGTGGGATAAGTTGTTACTTCACCACTTTCATTTCTGATTTTATTTGATTTCTCTCTCTTTGCTTCTTGGTGAGCCTGGCTTGAGGTTCATGAATTTTGTTTATCTTTTCAAATAACCAGCTCTTGGTTTTGTTGATCTTTTGTATTTTTTTTTTTTTTGTCTCTTGTCATTTATTTCCACTCTGATCATTATTATTATTTTTTTAAAATATATTTTTATTGATTTTTGTACAGAGAGATAGGGAGAGAGATAGAGAGCCAGAAACATCGATGAGAGAGAGTCATCGATCAGCTGCCTCTTGCACACCCCCTACCAGGGATATGCCCGCAACCAAGGTACATGCCCTTGACCGAAATCGAACCCGGGACCTCTGAGTCCCCAAGCCGACGCTCTATCCATTGAGCCAAACCGGTTTCGGCCACTCTGATCATTATTATTTCCTTTTCTTCTGCTTATGCTGGGCTTTTATTGTTGCTCTCTTTCTAACTCTTTGAGTCGTAGGTTTAGATAATTTATTATCATTTTTTGTTTTTGTTTTTTGAGGTAAGCCTGTAGAGCTATGAACTCCCCTCTTAAGGTAATTTCTATTTTCTTGAATTTGGAGAGACTTTGCCTGTGTCTCAATAAGTTGTCTATCTTTGAAAATGACCCATGTAGCTTGAGAAGAATATATTCTGTGGCTTTGGGGTGAAATGTTCTGAAGATATCAATTCCATCTGATCCAGTGAGTCATTTAGAATTGATGTTTCTTTGCTAATTTTTTTGTTTAGAGGATTTGTCCATTGGTGTTAGTGTGGTATTAAATGAATTTTGACTGTATTGTATTGATTATGACTGTATTGCTATTAATCTCTCCCTTGATATCCTGCATAAGTTTCTTTTTTTTTCTCTACGTATTTGGGTGGTTATATATTGGGTGCATATATGTTTACCAGTGTTATATCTTCTTTTTGAATTCCTCCCTTTAGTATCATGAAGTGGCCTTTCTGCTCTCTTGTTACAGCCTTTAATTTGAGTTCTAATTTGTCAGATATAAGTATTGCTACCCCAACTTTTTTTTGTTATTTCCATTCGCCTGAAAACCTTTTTCCATCCCTTCACCATTAGACTGTGTGAGTCCTTTATTCTTAGGTGGGTCTCTTGTAGGCAGCAGTTATATAGGTCATGTTTTCTTATCCACTCAGCTATTCTATGTATTTTGATTGGGCATTTAATCTATTTAATTTAAAGTTTTTATTGATAGGTACTTATGTGTAACCATTTTTATTCTTTATGCCCATGTTCCTTCTTCCCTTCCTAGTTCTTCTTTTTATAGCAGTCCCTTTAATATTTCTTGCAATGCTGGATTTGGTGGTAATAAACTTCCTTAGTCCTTTTTTGTCTGTGTACGTCTTGATTTCACCCTCAACTTTGATTGATAGCCTTGCTGGGTACAGTGTTCTTGGATGCAGACCC